TTTCCAAATAAATTATTGGAACTGTCAGATGACTAAACTCAACTATTCACTTCCTTGCGTGAATATTTTTTTCTGTGAGAGAATCCTGATTCATAATAAGATTATTGATCCTTTATCATCTGTTCTAAGGCAGAAAGCCATACAACATGTAGGATTTAAGGCTCTAGGCACTTTTTATCTCATATCAATAAAATTTGCAATCTCTATCCTGCAGGGATAAAGCAGAGAGTAAAACACAAACAAGAAATGCTAATGTTTAAATCCAAAGAGCTTAGTTTCATTATTTCTGTCTGATACTTTAGGAAACAGGGGCACAGGCATAAAGCAACTTGCACAAACATATACAGCGACTTAGTAGGAAACAGAATTCAGGTCTGCAAAATGGACAGAAGTTTTCGGCCAGGCTGCCTCTCCTGTCCTCACTACAATAAACATAGCAAGGTACTGATGCTAGGAAAAGCAATGGTTTGACAACAGGAAAAGAAAAGCAGCGTATCTGACTAGCCCTTAGCTGTTACAAAGTGGACTGGACAGAGTAGCAGGACTAGAGCAACTTAATTTCCTTCAACCTGAGCTACTGCTGCTGATGATTTTAAACTTTCTTTGTCTACAACATGCTGTCTCAGGGTGCGCTCCTCCCTCTTATCTCTTCTTTTCTTTCTCCTATTCCTTTTCCATCTAATGCCTGAAAAGCGTCCTGAGGGTTTGACAGTTTCTATTTAATAATTTCATCCTTCTGTATGGAAGACTGCTGAGCACCTTACAGCGAAGTTACTACCAGCCTGGAATTTCTGACTATCTGCCTGCCCTCTTATCTGCTTTGGTGCCAGACTCTTGATATCTCACTCTCCCCTGCCCCATATCTGTGACGCTGTAACAAATAAAAGTTCTAAATAACCTCCTTTGCTGGGGGGGGGGAGGCTTCATTTTGCCACACAAAAAAAGTCAGAGAAAGATTGTTTCCCAAGGTTTTCTTTTAGCTCCCAGTGTATTAAGGGTATATTCATTAAAACCAGGATTAGATTAGAGAGCAGGAGAAGGACTAGCAGACAGTCATTTCATTTAGCATTGGAGGACACAGTTCAATTCCCAGCTTGCTGCATTTTGCAGCTCAGTCTGTCATGAGACTATACAAAAGATTGGCTATTCTTCCCGTCTTCCACAAAACCAGACTATTTAAATAAATAAATAGATCCACTAATGTCTGCTCAAATGCTCTGATGTGATGAAATTTCCAACTTTCAGTTGTCGTAATATTTCCATAAAACAAAGCAAGGACTAAACATTGGGTAAGACGTAAGTAAAAAACCTAATTATTATCACTCATCAGCTCAGTCAGTTTGCTGAGCATGGTTTGCAAGTGATTTATTTTTCCATTAGGGATCTGAATCTTAGCAATTCCATGAATTATTCAGAATAAACCCAAAGTTCATTTTGGGAATCCTAGGTGAATCAAAATATTTCCATGCCTTGTTTTAACATCACCAAGCACTCAAGTCCTGACCATGTGAAAGGGTATTAAGCAAACGTTGGGCAAAGCAGAGCACAAGCACAGATGTGCATGCCTTACCAGCACTGCCCCATGGTGAACGCCAGTGAACTTCATTTCTTTCATTGAGCACTCTGATTGCCTGAGGGTACAACTGTGCACACACACATAACTATTAAAAAGGTGACACTCTATAACGTTACACCTTCCACAGGCCCGTGACAACTCTTCTGTGCATTTGTATTCCACAGGCCTCTCAAAAATGACTAGTTTTTTGTGAATTCTCCCCTCTGTCAAGACAGACAGAAGACAATGTATCTAGCCAAAGCCATAGGAGGAAAGGGGAACTAACAGCAGGCTGTAGAAAGCAATCCAGCTGTAATCTGATGTACAGACTTTTGCTCTCAAGAGCATGTATGCATATCTGTAGGTATAGACAGTCATGGGGTTTAGGATATTTTGCAGAAACATCCAAAAGCAGCAGTGCTGTATATGCTGTTCTGTCACTAGATCCTGCAAAAGATTCTGTGATCAGAGAGCAACAGCCAAGTTGGCTGATGATGTTGAGGAACCATCCATCTTCTCATACTGTAGCCATGGCCACCCTTTGATAGAAAGCTGCAGGCTCTGCAGATCGAATATACTTCTGGCAGAAGAGTAAGGAAACATGCCCTTCAGACTAAAAAAGACGAGTTAAACAGTAAGTGGTATTCTAACAGCCACTGACTATACTGTGGCCATGAAGTTAGTTTAAGTTAATCACTTAGGACTGATCAGAGAGACCAACTAGAATCTTCCCACATCTTCAGCAGAAAAGACCCCCCCCCCCCGCCACTAGAATACCAAAAGCTTTTCTGTGCATTCCATATTTCACGTCTAAATATTTTCAATATTCATCTAAAGTATGGTTGCTAGCAATCACAAAGTTTTAGGAATTATGCTGTCTCCTCCCAGGTTCAGACTGCCAGTCAGCATATTAGAGATCATTGTTGTCAGTCATTTCCAAACATGTTCAGAATCTGCAATTAGAAACATTAACAATGGGATTTCACAGATGCAGGTTACATGCTTTCTGAAAAGAAACAGCAGTTGCTGGCAGTGGGGAAATACTTAAGAACTACTTATCCCCTAATTAAACAAGGTACTGTACTCTAAGTACTGAATGCTAAGCAGTGCTCTAGCATGTGCTCATCTTAACCCTACAGAATTATGCTGAATTACTAAGGCTCCATCTGAGCATTTCTTAGCCAAGACTTCTTGCATAAACAGATGGAACAGTTCTGCTGTTTCCATGCTGACACATTCAGACTGTAAAAGTACAGGATTAAGTTCAAATTTATCATAAAATCACTTTAGATAGGACACTGTAATCTTTATATCCTTCTCAAGTCTGACAAACAGAAAGACAAGACTGTCTGTGTTGTGTTTAAAATAGGCAAACAATAGCTGAAACAGTTGGTAAAAACATTGATTTAACAGCTACAGAGTGCTGGCTGAGGCCAGAGTAGGACAGCCACCCCCAAAGATCTTTATATTCCCTTGAAGAAGGGGATGATCCTCACTCGATGGATTTCTCGTGACACATTAATGCCCCATGTAACTCCCAATGGCACTGCAGAAACCAAGGATCACCATACTAAAAGGGTAATCTAGTTAAGAACTGAATATCAAAATCCATAACGAAGTGATGAAAGCAGGTAGAGATGATGCTATGATACTGCTTTGAGGAGTCACCTATGAGGGAAGACTGGCAAGTGGCAGGATATGCCAGATTTAGACTGATTTTCTCTCTTCAAAGCAACAAAAAGAGGAATTAATTAATATTGCTGGAACATTTTGAGGGAAGACTGTCCAGACCCTGAATAAAGAGAAAAGGTTACTGACAAAGCTATGTCATAGTCAGTGCAAATACACATCTGTTAATCCCTACTCATGAGACAAGATTTTGCCAAATTGTAACTTTCATAGAATATTTCCCCTCAAAGACATTGAAGGGCTGCTTCTCTAAGAAAACCAGAATAAAACTTCAGAATATGATTCTCGGAGAGTCAGATCTTCACACATAAACCAATCCTCTGAAATTTAACTCCAGACCTCCTGCCAGAGATGTCTCAAACTCCTCTGTGGTTTCAGTAACTTCTAACTCTGGAGAATGAGAATCCCCATTTTGAAACAGCTCCTAAGATTTCAAAACCTGGAGTGAAAACAAAATCTCTTGAACATTCTTGTGAATGCACCAGAAGGAGCATGCCTTGCTCGTTTGAGACACAAGACAGCCAAATGCCCAGCTCTTGCAAGTGTAGTTTTCCTACTCTGACTTTGGCAGCATGTGGTCCTAAATCCACAGCTCCACCACGTAGGAGACTCAAGTATGACCTTGTTAAAATTTAACTTTGTGAAGAAAAAGCATATTTAAATAAAATTAAATTCAATTTAAGTGTTCTGATCAGCTCTCTACTGTTACACATTCTGGTACTTTCTCTCCCGTTGGCAATCTATATTCACACTGCTTAAAGTGCAGATCAAAACCTTTCCTCAGCCACGGACTTTCAGAAGTTTGTTCAACCTTTCCCCTAAAGCTAATTTTTTTTTTTGTAATGGAAGACTTAAGTTATACTAAGCTACTGTTGGAAATATAATGAGAATGCTGGCAGCTGAAAGTCTAAATACCAAAATGGGACAATAGATCAGTCATTTTTATTATGGCTTCTTTATACTTCTTTGAAATTATAGGTCTCTAAAGGTAGCAAGCTTAATTGTCTAGTAAGCCGCTGTCTTGCCTACCTCTCTCCTAAATGCCACGACACAGAAACGAAGGCTATCCCCCATTGCCTTTTGTTTCTTTCATGGGTGTGAAGTAAACAATTCAATCCATTTCTGAAGCACTTTTCCCCTGTAGTATATGAGGTTAGTATTATACTGAAATTCAGAAGTGGAAAAGAAAGGACACAGCATTCAGCAGACAGATTAGAACAAAAATCACTAGTGCATAGAGACAAAGTGTAAATATGCCTTGCTATTTGTGTGAAGTTGTTTATGTAGCTTAACACATAACAGTATCAGATAAGCACACCTATATGAAAATTTAAATTCCACAGCATAGAATTCATTCCCACATTTTTAGACCTGGAGCAAACATGAAGGTTCTGTAAATTCTAAATTACAGGTTTAGACTATGATTTTCCATTTTCAGTCACAGTCAAACTGTGGTTATCCAACATAATGTACACTAGAAGAACCAGCCTATTTGGATACTAGGGCTCTTTCATTTGAATAAATTCTTGAATATTATGCATGTTTAGCATTTACACCTGAAGCTGTAATATATCATTCAAAACCTAGAAAATTTGTATTTTAAGTTAAACTAAGTGCTAAACATTACACCAATATCTGGATTGAAGACTGATTTTGATCTCTCTGCTAACAGACTGCTTACAGTCCTAGATGGCACATGTAAACATCTAGCAGCATCTCTGCAGCATTTTCTTCTAGTCCTTTGTATTTATCTTACCTTTAATGCACCATGTTTTTCATTTGCTCCAACAATCAAAATTTCTGCCATATCCTCAGCATGCTCAGACCGCGCGTGGACAAACAAGGCTCCACCAGCTTCCGAGATATTCTTTAGTGCTACTAAAGACCCGTCACGTTCCACCTTAAAGTCTGGGTTAGACACTTCGAAGTTCAATTTGTTATTCCCCTTGCAGTCATCAAATTCAACTGGGGGGGGAAAAAAAGAAAAAAGCAAGAACACAATTATGAGTATCCACTTTGGAACATAGGCTTCAAACATTTTTATGTTATTGGCTTGTTTACAGATCTTGGGAAGAAACATCTCCCGATCTAAAGGGAAAAACTTTCAAAGCAGCTTTGTATTTGTGTGACCATAATTCATAGACAAATCTTATGAATATGCACTTTCAGAAGCACGAACAGATTTTGACCATGCTAATTGGGAAGGTAGAAGATAAACTAAACACTTTGGGCGCGAACATTCTGTGATCACTCAAATCGAATGCACAAAATGCACACCTGGTTCTACAAATTGGGCAGTAGCAGTAGAGACCTTGTTATCCTCCTCATCGTAACCTGGGATCCCTAAAGGCTCTTCTGCTGTCAAAGTGGTTTGAGATATCCCGTAAATCTTTATGCTTGGAATTGGTTGTTTACAGACTATTCAACTTTGCCTACTACAAAAATGTTACATAACAGAAAAATCAAGCTACAACATTTCTTACTACCAAGATTGTGATAGAGCATACGAGCTGCGCTATCAGTATTGCTAAGGATTATGAGAACTTTTAATTATACAAGAGCTGTCAATAAATCCTGTTCCACTTTACATGGAAGATCCTCTCTGGGGCTCCTTTCTCCTCACGCTTTCCCCCCTCTCTGGCGTGAGTCCCCTCCGCAGGCTGCAGCTTCCCTCAGGACTTGCCCACCCGCTCCTGTGTGGGGTCCTCCAGGGGCTGCATGGAATGCCTGCTCCGCGCCTGCACCCCCCTTTCTTATTCTTATTCTTCCTCTTCTTCCCCTGGGGTTCACACTGCTCTCGCCAACATTTTTTCCCTCACCCCCAGGCAGCGTTTTGCCCCTTTCTTAAATGGGCTTCCATAGGGGCATCGGCTGATGAGCTCAGCTGTGGCAGGCGGTGGGGCAGCTGTGGAACTGCCCAGAACCACCCGGAACCGCCTAGAACCGCCCGGAACCGCCTAGAACCGCCCGGAACCAGCACAGGGCAGCCCGGCCTCGCCTCACAGAGGCCCTGCAGCCCCCCCACACCCCATACATCAACAAAGGCACAAGGATCCTGAGGTGGGATTTTTAAAAGAACAAAGTTGTGATGCTGTGAGCTTGTGCCTGACTATCCTCTTACTGAGAAGAGTCCAAACTCTATAGCCCACCACAGTCTATTCCATAAAAATCATTCCAGCACCTGAAGGATCTGCTTCTGCGCAAGTTTTAGGCTTGCTTACATATTTTTAACTAAAAGTTGCTCCCTTTTCTCTCTGCTTTACTTGAGGACGAGAGAACTATCCTTGGATTCACAGTGGGATAACAAACCAGAATTTCATCAGCTCATTTCCCATTTCATTGAATTTTGCTGAAAGCAAGAGGGATTGTAAATAGAAACAAAAAGCTCTTTCCCCTCAGATGCTCCAGTCCCTCCAGACAAACCTATCTCGGTCTGTCATGTAGCCAGACCGCTGCTTGCAATTCTTACACTGCAGTAGAAGCAGGGGGGTGAAAACACAGGATCTGGGAGCAGTAGCAGTTTAAAACAATTTGGTAGTGCTCAGACTGTGCTGGTGTCCACGCTGGTGTCTGAGGCCGGGAACCGCTCGCAGAAAGGGTCTTGTGCTGACAAAGGCTGTTAGCAAGGCCTCCCTTGTGTAAAACCACCCCTTGCAAATTATGTCAGTGATATGACAAGCATTTTAACAGATTCACTGCAATCTCCTAAAGCTATCAACCCACAAAAAGACAAAATTTTCCTGTCACCACAAATGTGGGAAGTTGAAATTCTTTACACTAATCACTGTCTAGATTGCAGCCTTGATGAATTATGAGTAGATTCTCTTTTAACTTACTATTAAAAAAAAAAAAAAAAACCAACAAAACAAACAAAAAACACCACACAATGAAACAGGGTCTTAAGAAGATACCTTTTTATACTGAATAAATATGTGCTTCTCCTAGTCAAAAACTGCTGGTTGGTCTACTATTAACAGCTTATTAATTATGTCAGGAGGAGGAGGAGAGAAAAAAAAAAAAAAAAAAAAAAAAAAAAAAAAGAGAGAGAGAGAAAAGAAAAGCCTAAAAAAACTATGATAAAGTAATCACTTAAAAACAAATGTCCTAGTTCAGAGCTACAGCATCGCCCAGCCAGACACTACAGGTCATGTTCAAAAAGAGGCCTAGCTGTGTTGTGCTTCAAAGAGAGGGGAGACTGGCTGGGAGTACACTTCTCCCACCTTGCTGCTCAGCATTTACAAACCTTGAGATTCCTGCATTGCTGCCATCTGCGTGCATTGCAGGAATTCAAAGACCACATGCAGATTTGACACATGGAATCAGGAGAAGTACTTGGATCTATAGTCTATATTCCCTTGAGTTACGAATTTGACAATTCTAGACCTTTTCTATTTTGCTCATCTATTGACCTTGCTTTATGAAACCCTGCAACTTTTTCCAACAAGGGCAGAAGCAGAGTTGTATGAAAGTGGGAAACTGTTTTCTTACCACATCTCATCCAAAAGCACTGATGCTTTCAATTCTCAGTTCTACCACAGAAACAGGAGTATTTGACGAGGTTAATAGCAAGGAGAGGGAAAGAAAATGAAAAGGCTCTGAAAAGTACTGACATGTAGGAGAGAAATTAGAAGTGGGTGGAAGGAGATAAAGTGATCGCAAGGTTTGAGAACATTGAAGATTATTCGGACGAAGGGCCAACAGAGATGAAACCGAAGCCAATTATTAAGAGACTTGACGAGAACTGTAGCCTTCGATAAAATGCCTAGTCAGAAGTTAGAGGCAAATGCGAAATTTATCAGAATGATGAGGCCTCCTGGACCAGGACGACCAGGGAACGCCGCATGGGATTGCATTGCATTCCCAATCATTCTCACAATGCCCCTCACTGGGAATGTTTGCTTCTTTAAACTCATGTGGCTTCTGGGGAAAAGCCAATGCAGATAACCAAAATTCACAGTACTTGAGCTGCCTGTACCAGGCTCCAGTAGCAGCTACATAGCCTAAGGAGCTGGCCCTGGCACTGGCCACGTTTCCCTGCCCTGCCAGGCATTCAGGGGAGATCTGAGGAGTTTCAGCTTCATCAGCTTACTCAGATTTCCTACCTGTGGCACTACATCTTTCTCAAACAAACCTACACATCACTGATGCTCTAAAAAAGCATAGGTCACTAAATATAGGGCAAATAGGATTTTTAGTTCTTAAGCTCTGGTGAAGAAAGCTTGCTTTATACACAAACCCTGTATACAAATATCTATGTAAGAAGTATAAAGAGTGATTAATAAATTACTTATGCCCTCCAAGTACTAACCAGTATAACAAGAAACTAGACAGGGGGTTGTGGATATCAGTTGCAGGAAGGTTCAGGTCGATATTGAAGAAAGCTAACCATTAAAAGAGGGTGCTGAGGACATGCTGAATACCTATCATTGCAGGGATTTAACATTAGGTTAATAAAATACCAGCTTAATCCAAAATCGCCCAAGACCAATCTCAGTAGCTGATCCTGCTTCAAAACAAGAGGTTGGACTAGGTAGTACCTTAAAGTCTTTTCCACACATAAAAGTTCTAGATTCAGTTATTTTCCCTGTCATTTCGTGTCTACATCAGGTCTATATATGTGGGGTTCATTCAAGAAAATACAAACCACAAACATGCAGTGAACTAACCACTCTCTTACCACACAGCTTACTCATGTAGCTGAGTCCTGGACACTGAACTCTCTCCCAAGACTGAAGGAAATTTGGGTATAGGACTGAGAACTTCTGAATACGAGATGAACAAGCACATACAAGAAATCAGAAAACAGATCAGACTGTTCCCACTGAGACGCTATCTAAATCATCAAAAGTGCCAGGTTTCAAGAAGGTATGAATTTCTCTCTTCTGAAATAAAACATCCCATTACAAAGAGTTCTTCCAGTAAGATCTTTTCAGATCAGTATTTAAACAATGCCCATATACCAAAAAAATAAAAGTAGTTACCAAAATCTATGTCAGTTAGATGGATAGCGCATGCTCTAAGGAGTCTGCCAAGGTTCATGGAGAGAAGAGACCAAACCATCTGGCAGACTGCCTAAAATGAAAAGGTGGTCTCCCAATACATAGCACTTTGCTGCCTGGCAACCATGATGATGTATGATCCTTATGAGGTATGATGATGTTTATGATATTCATGCATTTGTTGCAGAGATGAGGTGTGAGGAAAGCCATGAAATGGCTAACTGACATTATTCATACTACCCAGCTGCATTGTAACAGACTGGACGAACAGCAGCCTGATGAGAGTGGCCACACACACGAAAACCTCCCGTGTCCCCCTGCACGTTCACTTTGTGTTAGAGCTTAAGGAGTTTAACTGGATTGTAAGCTCTTCAAAGCAAAGACCACTTGTTCACTGTGTGTCTGTGCAGCACTTGCAACAAAATGGTTCATATTTAGTGTTCAGGGTGCTACAGAAGTGCAAAAAAACTAATAATAGTAACTGTTCAGCTATACCCTAACCCAAGATTTTGGTAATGCTACACCAGACATGACTAGTGATTGTGTCTCATTGTCAAGAACTCAACAGGCAATCAAAACAATGATCTAATATTTATTTACATGAAGGCAGAGTTCTTAATTTATTGATGCATATATGACTCTTGATGTTCGTAGTCATGCTCCAGCTGCCAAACGAACATCTTTATTGTACTTAATATGCCATATGGTATGAGACAGGCTCCAAAACTCCATGCAAGCAAAATGAAAATACTGCCAAGCATCTCCCAATGAAAAACAACATGCGTGTCACTCATTGCCCTCTGTTCATTTCTCAGCCTCCTGTATCAGACTTTTACTCCTTACTGTAAAAAAGCTCATTCACATGTGAGTTGTACAGAATATTTTTGTCCACCAAGCAATATTCTTTATTAGTAGTATCTGCATGCATCCCAAGGCTTTAATCGCTGACTTTGAGCTTATTATCAT